TACACTACCTGACAAGTGCACTGTATCTATACTATCTGACAAGTGCACTGTATCTACACTACCTGACAGTGCAAATAAACAAATGAAGGGGAGTTTTCAGATGACATTTTCAAAAAGAAAAACAAATTAAGCTGATGAAAAATATCGGTGGTAGGCTAGTGCTGTATTCTTTAAGCCATTGTGTGGTTCTATATTTAACTTAAAAAGCATTATTGAACTTATTACATAAATACACACAATTTTTTTCTGTCAAATATATTTTTATTGAGCTTTTAAAATTTCATACATTGTCCACTCAAACCCAGACCCTCTCCGTCATCCATGCCTCCCCCATCCCCCCACCAAACCCTATGCACTCTGCCATACATTCTGAGTCCTATTCATTCAAGTGTTTGTACCCAAATGTCCTTCAGTGTACATGTGTCCACTGGAGTCTAGTCAGCCCATGTAAGTCATATTCTTCCTCACCCAGCAGCAATCAGTCTTAAGTAGTTCTCAATCTAGTGGTGGCCTGCCACGTATTTCTATTACAGAGGACCCACACCCTCTTTTGGCCTCTGCGGGCACCTGCCTCATGTGCACAGACCCACACATACAGAAACATGCATACACATAATTAAAAATAAATCTTTTAAAAAATGAATACAGCAGCTGAGCCAAAGTGTGATGTCAACTCCTTAACAGTAGGAAATCATAATTCCCACACCCCTTATGTATTTTCTGCTCCTCTCCCAGAATCTGACACAACTACAAGTCCTGGGAAATAATATTCTAGGGAACGTAACCACTTTGGTTTAATTGTTTCTAGGCTTTGTCAGTGGAGAGAACTAATTTTAAAAACTGTGTGTGTTTAAACTTGACTCAATAGGCCTTACCATATATGACAGAATGAATGAAACCTGGTGGGTGGGCTATGGGGGGTGCAGATAGGGGAAGGGTCTAAATATAATTAAGATGTATTTTATGAAATGCACAAAAATTCAATGAAAATATATACTGAAAAAAGAGAATAAACATTACTATTCATTTAAAAATTGTGTGTATAACTGGCCAAGTTTTAGAGAATAAGGGCCTGTAGAGGGTAGGATGGGACTCCTATATGGAACCTCACCCACCCACAGCTCAGGGACCATTGTGGAAGAGGAGGCAGAAAGACTGTAAGATCCAGGGCTGGTTCATGAACGTAAGGAGGTGGAGGCTTCCAGGCCACTGGAGGCTTACTCATGTGAGCCTGTGGCAGTGGTGGCATCAAACGTGGGACCCGTGTCAGCTCAATTAAACAAAGGCCTGAAGGGGAGGCTCAGAGATCCTTTGCAACTGTTAAGCTTTGCTGCTTGGTAGAGCACTTACGACTGAATGGTTTTTGCTACTTTATTTTCATTAAAAAGTATTTTAAATCTTTGTGTGAGTTCTGTTTGCATGTTTGTGTGTGTAAGTGTGGGCATGTGTGTGCCATGGTGTGTGTGTGTGTGTGTGTGTGTGTGTATCAGAAGACAACCTTGGGTGCTGCTCCAAGTCTTCCATCTTGTTTGAGATAGTCTTTGTTGAGCTGCTACATACGCCAGGCTAGCTCCTTCTGGAGTCTCCAGTCTTCTCATCCTACCTCACCACAGGAACCACGAGATTATACACAGGTGCTGCCACATCTAGCATTACACGGGTTCTAGGGATCCAAACTTGGGTCCTCATGCATATTTGTCAAGTGCGTTACCACTGAGCCATCCAGCCAGTCCTTTTGTTGTTCTAGATTCCCATTATTACACTGACAAGAGGGCACCAATTCTGTAGACACCTCCCTAATGGTCAGTCTTTGCTCACAAAGACCTTTAAGCTTCTCAACCATGCTAATATCCCTTTATTGGTGGATTCTTCCTCTTAGTCAAGAATGAATCCTCTAGACCCTTCTAGAGATCACAGCCCATGTACACATTCTCTGGACCTTTAATGGGCTAATCCCAGTATGCCAACTCACTGGTTTAGCATTTGGGGTGGGTGTCCTCAGATGGTCCGTCTGGATATGAAAATCGTGCTGCTTCTTACAGATGTGGTCTCCAAATGCTCCTGTCTGAGCCTAACTCCTTTCTCCACGTCTCCCTTTCCTCTTGCTCCGTTTCGTATTCTGTTATTTCTTATGTTTTTCCATAAGAGCCAGAGCCAACCTCACCGGAGGGCCACTGAGTTGTGTCTTTCTGCTCCTTCCAGAGGATGATGCTTTGGACCCACCTGAAATAGAGACGGTAACAGTTTGTGTCAACTATCTGAGAGTGTTTGGACTCTGGAGGACCCTGGAATTGAGTTTCCAGGAAGAAAGTATCAACGGCCCATTCTATGTTTTAGTCAGCTTTGCATCACTATACGAAATACAAAGGTAATAAACTTATAGGAAGAAAAGTTTTAACACACCAACACATCACGGTGGAAGGGACTATTAGTAACTATTGGTCTGAGGAACTAGTGGTAATTGATAGCTGCTGGGAGAGGAAGAGTCTTTTTCTTCCAGGGTGTGATGCTGTATAGTTTGACCAGGCTCCAGAGGATGAACCCATACCCAAGAATATTTGGAACACACAAATTAGGCTTGATAGGTATGCTGGTTATTATTATTATTATTTTTTTTTTGTCAACTTGACAAAAACTAGAGACATCTGGAAAGAGGAAACCCCAGCTGAGGAATTTCTTCCATCAGATTGGCCTGTGGCCATGTCAGTGAGGCATTTTCTTAATTGGTAATTGATGCAGGAGAGACCAACCCACTGTGGGTGGTGCTGTCCCTGGGTAGGTGGGCCTGGGCTGCATAAGAAGGGTAACTGACCAAGGTCGGGGATGCATACCAGTAAACAGTGGTTCTTTGTGGCCCGTTTCTGCTCCTGCCTCCAGGTGCCTGCTTTGAGTTCCTGCCCTAACTTCCCTCAGTGATAGACTGTAACTTGGAAGAGTAAGATGAAATAAATGTTTTCCTCCCGAAGCTGGTTTTGGTCAGTGTTTTATCACAGTAATAGAAAGTAACTAAGGTAACTAAAACAACAGGCCTTTAAAAAAATGACTTTCCTGCTCCCAGGCACCAAGAAGTTTTCCATCATTTCTCTATTCCTCTTCTATAAGCCCAGTGTACCTTCACTTATGCCCTACAGAAAATGTAAAACACCTAACTGAACTTCTAGAGATAAAAAAGGAACATTAAACAAGGAGTTGGGGAAGTTGGGGGTGAATGATGAATACATTAAATATACACTGTAACCATGTGTCTCAAAGAATCAATAAAAATATAACAAAAAAGAAAAATAATAAAGGAAGTGAAGTCAGGGAGATAGTAAGGTGGGGTGGAGATGGGGAAGGGGATCTAAATAGGGTCAAAATACACTGTACAAAATTCTTAAAGGAGCAATAAAAGTATTTCTTAAAAATTAACACAAAGAAAAATGTCAGATTCATAGACCTGCTAGGTAATCCATGTGAAAGCGTTCAGTAACATGCTCTCCTTACCTCCAGCTCTCTCTCTACCTAACTTTACCTCTTCCCTTTATCAAGATTTTTCAAGCCCCACTTTTTCCCTGGCAAACTGACATTGTTTGGTTGATCATTTCATATTACAAATTCTTTTCTGAGGACTTTTATTACTTTCATTAGTGTAAGTTTTGAACCAAAGTATGCACATTTGGAGCACAGGCTTATCCTTGAAGTGTTGCAGCATATGGATGGCCCTAGGCTCTGGCATGGGGAGGGGAGCCCATGCACTGCCCTCAGACCCTTCAGAGGTGGGGGGACCAGCCAGCCACAGCAATGCTCTCACCAGTGATGTAGCTGGCATCTGGGGAGCACAGGAAGGATACAAGTCCCACACAATCTTCAGGCTGCCCCACTCTGCATGGAAAGAGATGAGATCAATGATGCTTTGCCTTCCAGCCCTGAGCTTTCATGTGACTCTGTGGAATCAAGACCCATGGAGATGAGCCAAGAGCTACAAGTGAAGATGTAGGGGCTCTTCCGGGAACTGCAGAGGCCACCCCAGACCTCAGGGGAGCTTCAGATCCCCAAAAGGGGAAGGGGAAGTGATCTGAGAGCATAGACTATGATCTTTGATTTTTTTATGAGGTCATGCTAATTCATATTTGCAAGGGAAACTGCCTCACCGACCTCTGCAGTCCATAAATTTTCTTCATACTTTCCATAAAAGCTTGGTCTTCAACAGTCTAAAAGCAGTGTCAAAGGTTAGTACTGTTCATGCAAGATGCAGTCACTCAGGCGCTACATCATGCATGATGTGTGTGTGTGTGTGTGTGTGTGTGTGTGTGTATGGCATCTGTGGGACACTCTGGCATGATCTTTGCAGATCATTTTGATTCTAATGTGCAACTTGAAGGCTGTGGACCAGAGAGCATCTGAACAAGAGTCCCAAAGTCTAAGCCTAAGTGCGCAGGTCTCTGCAGGGCATTGCCCACAAGTGACAGGCACCGTAGTGTGTAGAAGAGGAGCTGCCTGCCCTTGGTCCTCACCAAGTGGCTGAAGTCTGTGTTGATTATTCCTGGTACTAGGCAGTTCACACAGATGTTCTTTGGTGCCAGCTCCACTGCCCGAGTCTTGGTGAGGCCCAGCAATGCTGTTTTACTGACATTGTACACCCCTAGGCACTGAGCACAGAAAGAAAGTGAGATGGATAGACTGGAATTGAGACAAGGGAGGTTCACTTGTATTTCCTGAGGCCAGGGAATTCATACTAGTAATGCATTCTGATCATCAGCTCTGGAAGATGACACCCAGAGGGATGGTACCATGCTCCCACTTAAGTGCACTTATAGAAAATGAAGGATCTGTGTGGTTGAGTAGTTCTGAGGGAGGTGTTGTTAAATGGCTATTTCCATGCACTAGGTTTTCTGGATGAAAATTTCTCGTATCTCATATGGCCGTACTTACAGGAATTGGGGTATATGCTGCAATTGAGGACACCAGGACCACTGAACCTTGTCTGGAAAGATAAAGAGACAGTGCAACGTAAGCTGAAGACAGCTATCCTGGGTGTGACCGAGAAGGGAGGGCATGTGGAGGAGGAGTGCAGGGGACTTGAGTGAGGGAGAAGACTGTAGGATTGTCTCCGTTTTCCCTAAGGTCCTCGATGGTGTATCTGAAGTCACATTGTCAGAAGCCATCTATATCTGAATTCTGCTTTTGCAGGAAATTATGACTAAATATCTTGACTTTAAATTACAATTATTGAACAGTAACACCAGAAATATTTCCTATGCTTTCTTGAATTAGTTTTGATAAGGGATATAATTTCAAAAAATTGTTTCATTACCCCTTGATCAATTTCACTAGAAATCTGTCAAACTACTGTTAAGGTTCAGATAGCCCTGCCCCCTCACCAACAGGATCCCAAGGACTCCTCATGCTCCTGAGAAAAGGGAACCTAGCTGATAAGCACCTTGGTCTTTGAAGTCAAGAGAAGCAGACTTTTCTCCACTGTTTGGCCAACACAGCAGGCTTCCCCTTTGATCTCTAAAGAGAACAGGTTTTAACAGTCCTGCTTTCCCACTCCCCCCACAACTTAAAAAAAAATACATCTCCCCGCCTTCTGCAGAAAGCAGAAGCCTCCCTTTTTAAAAGACCCCAGCTCAAGGCCCAGGCAGACACCCAGGAATCTGTCCCATGTGTTCCCTTGCTAATAAACCCTATTTAGATGGAGTTTTATCTGTGTCCTGGTGCCTCCTCCTCCATTCGCTCATTCTCCGCCAACTTTTTACCTATCAACTACTAGTTATTTTTAAAACCTTTTTTTTTGGTTTTCTGGTTCTGTGTATTGTATTTTGGTCCTCCCCTCTCCCCTCCTTCTTTGCTTCCTTTCTTCCCAGTGCTAAGGCGCAACCCCAGGGCCTTACAGGCTGAGCAGGCATTCTACCACAGAGCTCGACCTGCCCTCCTTCCCAGTGATTTCTGCCCTGTGTCTTATCCGGCTGCTTTTTGTGCGTTCCCTCTTCCCCGCACATTCCAGTTTTAGGTAACATAAATGAGATAGTTGATCACGGTTGTCCATCTAGAAAGACACGCTTTTACTTCGATGTCTATAAGAGAGATTTAAAAAATGGAACTTTAAAGCCAGAAGTTGAGCTATTTTCCTGCTGTGTTAGAGTTGGCCTGCCCCTCTTGAACAATGTCTTGATTCACAGCTTTTCCCACTCCTCTGATTACCCTGGAATACTTCCTTCTTAGCATTATGAACAGCTGACAGAAAAGAAACTTGGCTAAATTGTACCATTGCTGTATAATCACATTAAAAACTACTTTGATTAAAAATTCTAGCTCAAACATCTCTCTCTCTCTCTCTCTCTCTCTCTCTCTCTCTCTCTCTCGTGTGTGTGTGTGTGTGTGTGTGTGTGTGTGTGTGTGTGTTTGGTGCTCTTGTATGCATGTGTGAAGCCCAGAGGACAATCTTGGGTGTTGTTCCTACACGCTGTACATTTCCTTTGAGACAGGATATCTCAATGTCCCAGCTCACCACACAGGCTAGACTGGCTAGGGGCTCCAATACCGAAATGGACTAGTGTGCACCCCCAAACCTGGCGTTTTTTATGTGGGTTCTGTGGACCAAACTCAGATCCTAGTGCTTGTGAAGTAATCACTTTACCTACTGAGCTATCTTTTCTAGCCCTACTTAGTTCAAAAGTTTTAAGATTTTAGTTACAGTTACTGATATACTGGGATTAATATCTAGCATTTAATTCTGTGATCTTTAAATCCCCCCGGTTCCTTTTGTTTATCCATTTTAGTTTCTTTTGGATTATTTCTCTACCCACTTACTAGTTTGAAAATGTACTTTGCACTCTGTTGACACTGTTGGACCTGTCTCCATAGGAAGTAAATCAGGGCTGTCCAGGCAACCAAAGTTTAGTAATTCTTACCCTGACTAAACAAACGAAACCCTTTTAACAGTGCAGCTCAATTTCTGTCTTTCTGGTTTGAATATTATTATTATTATTTTTATCTTTTTGAGACAGGGTCTCCCTGTAGTTCCAGCTGTCCTGGAACTCACTATGTAGACCAGGCTGGCCTTGAACTCACAGAGACCTGCCTGTCTCTGCCTCCCGAGTGCTGGGATTAAAGGCGTGCGCCACCACGCCCGGCATGTTTTTGCTATTTTCAACCCCACGAAACATCACTTTTCTGCTGTAGGTGCTTTGGTTTGTTCGTATGCTGCTGTTTTCTGGGCCTTCATTTTTTTTGCCTCAGGTTGTACCTATGGGATGGTTTCGTTCCTTCCGCCTGAAGTACATCATTCAGAACCCCTTTTAGTGACGGTCTTCTAGTAATAGATACTATTTTTGTTTGTCTGAAAATGCTAGAACTCTTTTGCTATTTTCAACCCCATGAAACATCACTTTTCTGCTGTAGGTGCTTTGGTTTGTTCGTATGCTGCTGCTTTCTGGGCCTTCATTTTTTTTGCCTCAGGTTGTACCTATGGGATGGTTCCGTTCGGGATGGTTCCGTTCCTTCCGCCTGAAGTACATCATTCAGAACCCCTTTTAGTGATGGTCTTCTAGTAATAGATACTATTTTTGTTTGTCTGAAAATGCTAGAACTCTGCCCTAATTTTTGATTTACTAGGTGGATAGTCCCCCCATCATACAGGAA